CAATTCGTTGGAAACACGGAGGTTGCGAATGGCGGCAGGAAAGAGGAAATTTCAAATTAGCGGATGCCTTTACCTTTGCCGTCGCAGCCACAGCCGCTAGGTACCCCACCGCTCAGTCACAACCGCGTAACCGCCCACGCGTTACGGTACGTAGATGCGCGTTTTTGAAGGCCGAGGAAAGAGAAGCCGAGGGAAAAAAGCGGGCCCGATCCGTGTCATTATCAGTGATTTAGACTCGGTTCTCGGAACAATAACCGCCCGGGAAATGCAATATTTTGGCTGCGCTAAACTCCGTAGAGACGATGACTTCGTCTCCGACGTCTCTCATTAGCTGAGTGCGCTCTCGTCCACAACCCTGCCGTGCTAAGGAAGAACGCCGTATGAGCCTTCAGGCGTTGCCAAATTTCCTTTGATAAAACACACCTTTTTTGGTAAACTTATGGATATTTTCCTTCGAATTTTTCAAATAATTTTGTTCGCAATTTCACCTGAAATTTTCAAGAGAAAATATTCATAACTTTCCTTAAAAATGAGGATTTTATCGAAGGAAATTTGGCAACTTTCGAAAGTTCATACGGCGTTCTTCCTTAGCACGGCAGCCCGTATCCGCCGTGCTAAGGAGGAACACCGTATGAGCCATCAGGCGTTGCCAGATATCCTTCGACAAAGCCAGAGCCGGATTAAGGGGGTGGCCACATGGGCCGCGGCCCATGGCGGCAAATCTAGGGGGCGGCGAATTTTGCAATTTTTTTAAATGTAGGTATAAAAAAAATCGGATTTAGAAAAAAAAAATTACAAACAAAATCTCTCATTTCCTGAAAGTATAGTAATTTCTAATTTTGTCGTCTTTCGGTGATACAAGAGACAGCACCTTTAATTAATTGAGTTAAGAGAGAGACCAAACACGGAATTTGGCCAGGAACGGTGCGACTAAGAGAGAAATGATGACAAGGTCTTGAGATGAAAAGGAAAAGCCCTCGGCGCGGCGGTCGGCATGTAACACATATAAGCGCCTACATTCCTACAAGACTGCACGAGTTCTTCACGCATTGCATCAAACACAGTGCGGTCACTGCGCTCAGCGTGAAACGGATACGGATAGCGCCTACAAGAATGCATGAATACTTCACGCATTGTGCCAAACACAGTGCGGTCAGCGTGAAACGCATAGCGCCTTCAAGACTGCGTGAATACTTCACGCATTGCGTCAAACGGTGCGTTCAGCAACGGTCGGCGGCGTGAAACTCAAAGCGCCTACAGAACTGTCGGAATACTTCACGCATTGCTCCAAACACACTGCGGTCTGTGCGACGCGGCGGCGGAAGTTAAAATCATTGAACCACATTTAAGTTTGTTCTTTCACAATTTTTTCGTTCATTTCTTATGAATGGAAGGCCTTGTCCACGCTGCAAGATATAGGTTTAGCGTAACGTTCGCGCAAAATTCGGTGAATTTTTGCTAGTAGTGTTGACAGGGCTTTCCCAAAAAATGTTTCCAACACGAGTAAACGCGTCTTATGCACCCCACCCCCGCTGGCACGTTCACTTGATGGTTTTTATTGATGTTTCAAAACGAATGAGGAGGGGACGGCAAAATACAGGCGGCCCATGGGCGGCAAGTAGATAAATCCGGCCCTGGACAAAGCACGAACTTCCGGGAAAATTTGGGCCGCGTTTAGCAGAAAAGGGACCAGGGACAGATATTGCCAAATTTAACGGGGCAATTTAATTTTACTAGAGAACGTTTGTGCGGATCCCTTTAAAAATTTTAAGGAATTAGCTTCGTGCCATGCAGAAAATTCGCTAAAATTCGCAAAAAAATCCGCACAACAATTTTCATATAAAAAATTAGATTGCCCGATTAAATTTGGCAGTACCTACCTAGCTAAGGTGGCTTTGTTCCTTTCTGCTAAACGCGGTCTATTTGATCTAAAAAGTCTGAAAATTTCAAGGTATCGTGTATCAGAGGAGAAGGATAATCTATGCGAAGCCGAACTCTACTTAGCTATCCATCGTGTAAGTTTGTTTTCAAAGGCTGATACGGTTTTTTTTCTTCTTTTTCTTGTGCGCTAAGCAATGTAAAAAAAATCCACGTAATAAAAGTTCATTTTGACCGCGTTAAGCAGAGAGGAGCCAAGCTACGTCAGCTATTGCCAAATTTAATCGAGCAATTTAGCTTTTTACATAAAACGGTTGTGCAGATTGTTGTGCAAATTTCAGTGAACTTCCTGCAAAGCACGAAACAAATTCCTCAAAATTTTCAAAGAAATCCACACCAACGTTCTCTTGTAAAAAATTAGATTGCCCGATTAAATTTGACAGTAGCTGTCGTGGCTTGGTCCCTTTCTGCTTGACGTTATCCAAATTTTCTGAGATGCAAACAATGCCTCACCGACGGGTTGTCTCTGATCAGTGTTTCCTTCTGCTTTTTATCCTGCTCAATTCAATTTTTTTTTTCATTGTCAATTGAAGAACCCCACTTTAGTTGGTCTTTTTTGCTGTTACTTAAATTCAGAAAAGTTTTCAGTGATTCTCGTAGTTCTGTTTACTTTTCAACTGTAAAATCAGGAAGGCCAACTTTCTGCAGGGTTTCCACCTTGATAAAACATTAAATTCTAAAAGGCTGCAGCTGTAAATATTTCAAATTTGGCAATACCTAGCTAATGTAGCTTAATTTCTTTCTGCTAAACGCGGCACATTTCTCATATGTATGAGTTAATTCGAACTTTTCAGTATTTTCAACGTATTCTGTGTAAAATTTTGATGAGGAAAATAAAATTTTTTGGTGATTCAATTCCGACTGTATAATAATTCACTGATAGAAATTTGGTTGCATGTCGACCGGTCAGAATACTCAAACGGAGGCTCTCAAGCTATACTGCCGTGCTAAGGAAGAACGCCGTATGAACATTCGGGATTTGCCAAATTTCTCATGAGAAAACATGTATTTTTGACGACATTCATGCTAATTTTCCTTAGAAATTTTCCGATATTTTCGATTAATGTTTGTACGAAATTGTCTGAAAATTTTGGAAAAAAATATTCACAATTTTTCCTGTAAAATCGGTTTTTATCGAAGGAAATCTGGCAACGTCTGAAGGCTCATACGGCCTTAGCACGGCAGTACAGGACGTCTCATTCGCACGAGACAAAAGTAAACAAGCCGGCGTGTTGGCTAGAAGAATGAAAAGCCTTACTCAGAATATTATGACGGTAATCACGCCTGAGGGGGGCTGCAAATACTCTTGCGTAATGGATGTCGGCGTTGCATCTGCCACGGAATTAAGGCGCGTCGGCTTCCCCTGCGCTCACAGCAACGCATGCGCACGCTGAGCCGAATCGCCAGCAAGACGCTTACGCTTATTACACTCATAGCGGAATGAGCGTGGGGTATGCGATGGCCACCATATTTTGGCGCCCTTAGCGGTAAAGGTGCATTCTCTACGATGGCCGCTGAAAAGTAGAGTCCTTTCCGCGAAAAAGTAAAAATATTATTTTTTAATTGTTATTTTCCTGTTATTTTCATTTTTTGAGGACATAATTTCGTGTTTAAACTTAGAAGGAGACGACTCTCACACTGATATGGATGTGAGAACCGAAGTTTTTCGGATGTGAAAACCGAAGTTTTTCGGATATGAAAACCGAAGTACTTCAGATGTAAGAACTGAAGTTTCAGATGTGTGATCCGAACCTCAGCAGCTGGACCTAAAGTGTTCAGATGCTCAATCCGAGAACTTCAGAGATCCATATGACCTTAACTTCGGGTCCCACACACGAAGTTTTTTTCTCAGTGTGCGATGACCACCTTGTTGTGGCTTTACCTTAGCGGTAAAGGTGCATTCTCTACGATGGCCGCTGAAAAGTAGAGTCCTTTCCGCGAAAAAGTAAAATTATTATTTTTTAATTGTTATTTTCATTTTTTGAGGACATAATTCCGTGTTTAAACTGAGAAAGAGATGACTCTTACACTGATATGATAGAAACACGAGAAAGTTGCAATCACAGAAAAAAACCTTGAAGTTTAGGTCATATGGATCTCTGAAGTTTTCAGATTGAGCATCTGAACACTTTAGGTCTAGCTGTCAAGGTTTGGATCACACATCTGAAACTTCAGTAACAACACTGCAAAGGCTCCAAACAGTGGCCTCTAGATATAACAATTTTTAGTGGAGATCCCAAGTAATATCCCTGACCTGATATGATGCATATATACATACATGCATGATATACATTGTCTGATGCATCAGATTGACAAGTCCCCTAGAACTTTAAAATTTCCTGATTTTGGATTAGACTTTATAAAAAATATTTTCGAACTTTTCCCTGACATTCTCAGAATGTAATGTATGAAAATACTTCTCATGGATCAAATTCAGTGAGGAGTTTAAGTTCAGTCAATGAAACTTAAGAAAAAGACCGCGTCCAATACAAAAGTTTTGAAGAGATGAGAAAATTTATTGCTAAACAGCGAGATTAACTGACTTTCCTCTAACTGCATTGAGGATATTAAACTGATCGAATTAAAAAATATAGAAGTCAAGATTTTGGAAGGATGGCTCATATTTTCTGGCATTGATTCTAGACTCGAGAAAAAACAGACATCATTTTCCTCCCAATAATATTAGAAATAAGGCTGACGCGTCCTTAATTTTTGTCATTGAAGAAGAATTTTCTTCTCATTTAACTTGAAGTAAATGATTTGACAAAAATTAAATTTTACTATGGGATAACATAGAATAACATTTTGATTCAGCATAAACAACTCTGTTACAATTGGTCACACATTAGCAGCTAAGTTCAGTAAAAAAAGGGGAGCAAAAATGTATTACTTGAAGGAAAAAGTAAGAAAAAAAAATTACCTTAATTCATTTGACAACACGACTGTGGTCTAAAGCTGTATTTTCAGGGCCTTTTCTTCAGTAATTAACCAAATGTCTAAACCAAAAACACCTATATACTTCATAGAGGTGACAACAATAGGAATGTTTCAATTAGATGAAATTTCAAAAAAGGAACAAAATATTGTATGTATTTGCGTTGTTTCAAAAACCATAATGTACAATCAAGTGGTGTTTTCTCAGAAATTATTGCTCACTCGTTTAGCAGTGATCAATCAAAACACTATTTGAAGATGGAAACAGATACTATATGCCGTCCTGGGACCATGACAAGGCCAAGTAGTCTTGGTTCATCAGAAAATCCACACACTGCAATAAAACAAAATAATGAGAGATAATTAGAGCCAGTGGAGTAACAAAGACTAGTAGAGTATTTGATTGACTAAGCACGTCTAATCATATTTCAATATTATTAAATCAAAAGATTGAGATGATTCATTACATTTCTTAACTTTCAAATCCTCTGGGAAAGCTCCTCGAGCTAAAAGATTTTGAAATACAAAACGGAGTGCTTACACAGGTTTTTATGGACTTCTTAAAACATTTACCTTAATCATGAAATCTTTATTGCTTTTTTGAGTTCTTGTTCCAAAGTATAAACAGTATTAAGAGATTCAACTAGAAACTTCTGCCAAGGTGAGGGGAAATATTTTTAAGGATCAAAATTTTTCAGTGAAAGGTTTTTTATTTTTGAACTGAAATTTTGTTTTCATCTTTTTACTGAACATTGTTTTCCTTGATCAATGAGGAGTCACATTAAGATGTTTTTTTCTAAAAGCTTCTGACTCTCACACAATCTTCGGCTAAAGTGGGTTGATGAATGTTTCACTGTAATGTGTTAAATTTTAGAAATGCATTTCTCAAATAAATTTAATAACAAATTTTTTTGGTATATTTGAGCTGCTACCTCAACCCAATTGGTTCTCTGTGACTCCCGATCACCACCTAAACCTATCCTCTTACAGATGATTACGCAAACCAATTGCTTGGTTTTGATACTGGCATAATATTTTCTCAGCCCCCATCTTTTCAGGCATTTATTCATCACCAACGCACTCTCTTCGCAAGATCACTGTGGATCTACATCAATATTCAGTTTGGTTTTTTTTTTAGTTTTACCAATTCTTCAAATAGCCCAAAGGGTTAATCCCACGCTTCATGCCTGAGACCGAGGCAACCATTGCCTGAGTCGATCATACTCAGGTCACCTAGCCAGGAATCAAACCTGGAACCTCTTGGTCATAGGGGCTACACTACAACCACTTCATCACAGAGGGCCGATAAACGTTACCCTTAGAATTTTCTTCTTTAACTGTCAGATCCGAATCCTATAGGTGATAATACTCTTTGCCTTTGAGTTGTGAAACCTCCATTTACCCTCCCTCATTCATACCTCTTCTGATACCCTGTTGGTATCAAAATGGAATTATCAACTTGATAAAATTGTAAGAAAAATAATTTAAAGTAGCCTGGAAGTCTACCTACCATCAGGATTCAGGTATTCATGACAGGATGCCATGATCGTGTTCCCATCTCGATCAGTGCAGATAAATCGGCCGACCAATATTCGTGTATCAGTCATTTCAATTCTCATCATTTTATTGATCCAGTTTCGCAATTTTTGAAGGGCAGCTGTTTTCTTTGACACAGGATCCTAGAAAAGAGCAGAAAGAGAAAACCCATTTTATTTCATTTTGTATTGAGCGAGTTGTTCTTAACTTTTACTGCCCCTGATAATGCTGCTGTAGCTAAAAAAGCTTCAGTTCACACCCTTCGATAAATACTTAGGTGCATAAAGTTTTTGACGGCTGTATTTTTGTCTGGCAATTGGCTATTCCCTGGAGCAACGCAAGTAATTGCTGTTACCTCATACGTTTCGAAAATGTTCGTTGATTACAAATTGCAATGCTCCAGCCAATTACGGAAATGTAAATTGGAAGATAATGAAGAAAAAGAAACCTTGCATTAAAGTAAATGTTTTATCAATAAGTGCAAATGCTGAGTATGAAACTGACCTGTTACATCTTTATATAATTTTCAATGGAAAGTTGGAAAAACTAAATTCAATTTATTTGGTTTATTTATTCCTTATATCACACATCAACATAATTACAACGACTGCTCCGTCCCACACCAGGAGCGCAGCTTGTTCGGTGAGTGCCTGAACAACGTGCGGACAAATACCTTTTGATCCCAGTCAAATTGAATCCATTTCCAGTTGAATAGGCAAGTTGCAACTGGACTCGTGCAAAGGTTTTCAATGCGTATCTCTTGCTTCAGATCCAAGATATGTAACAACTCGTATTGAAATGCTCATAAAAACGCAGCTAATGAATGGTTACTTACTGTACTTTCACCGTCCGCAGGGCCATCAACCCACGTCTCCAGATTACTCATTGGAACTTTGAGATGAGCGTTTTGCACACAGAATAAGAAATGCTTCACATGAAGATTGGAAGATGCTTGTCAAGAGGTTGCCACCATCCTTTTGAAGGGAGAGTCTCAACCTAAATTCCCTTGCATAAAATGATTAATTGAACATAGGTGCAGGTGTATTTTACTTATACTTGTAAGCGCCGGATTTTGATGGAAAGATTACCATAATTGTGAACTAACTTAAATCATTCAAAGCACATATGGTCATTAATGATGAGCTTCTGTGCAAAAAAATAAGTACTAGCAGCACTCACAATCAGTTAAAACTGATGTTAGAAAGTTGAAAATTTGTACACAACTTCGTGACACATAAAGTAAAAATGAATCCGAGAACAAATAAAAATATTTTTCACAATCTGAAGACGTTACAGGCAGAAATATGTGATGAAAACAGGAAATATTTCAGAAAAAGTCTGGAAAAAAGTTAGATTTTGAAGATTTTACTGAAACTGACTCGCACTGATAAGATGATGTTTATTTACACTGAGAGCCTGCTGTGATTGGCTGAAAAAATTGGTACGTCTTGTACGTCTTGTACGTCATAAGTTAGGCGTTCTTTCCTGTGGTCGATGTAGTCAGGGACGCCGCAGCGGCTGTGACGTCATGTAAACTTGTTTCAGCGGGAAGCGGGCACAAATTTGTCGAAAATTTGTGAAATGAGAGCTCGAATGGAAAAATTTCAAGTTTAGAGTGAGATCACCTTGCCCACAGCCTTAAGCCATCAACCAAATTCTGACAAAAGGAGAGACCATCTGTGAGTGACGTTGCACTTTAATGTTGCAAGGCAGTGCAACTGCAAGTGCACCAAAAATGCATAGATGTTGCTCGCTCGTCGCCCCGCACTTTGATCGTTTGATATGCCTTAGAAAAACTGCTATTGTGCGCTGGATGATTTTTAAAAGAAAATGAAAAAAAATTGGAAGGAGGGAGAGACAGAAAAAAAAGTGTTTAAATTCCTGAAAAGAAAAGCGAGCAAGATGTGCGATGGATGCCGATGCGCGCTAAAAACGGCAATTTAAAAATCGGTGACGCGCCTAGGAAGCGGTGACTCGATCGCTGATTGGTCAATTGAAAACAGGCTGTACACAACGCTAGAGTCGCCGTGGGTCCTTTTCGGTTTGTTGTGACTTGTGAGTTCAATAATGTGTTTACAGTGATGGCTGCGCCCATTTTACGGTGGAAAAGAGTTGAAAATCCTTCGGGACCAGCTCCTAGACCAAGACATGGCCATCGTGCCGTTGCCATCAAAGATTTGATGGTAGTTTTCGGGGGAGGAAATGAAGGAATAGTTGACGAACTTCATGTCTACAACTCAGGTAAGTCCTCTATACTGAACGTGCCTATCATGGCCAGAATCGGAAATTAAGATTGCTTTGTTCCATCTCGATCCCTCTAAATACACCCTAGCGTTCAACTCTATGCCGCCAACACCAAGTTTTTTACGCATTTTTAGACTCATGTAGGGGTTAAATTCACCTCAATGTCATATGTAAAATTTCGCGGCATAACAGCCTATCCAATATGGCGGCCTCCTTGGACGAAACATGATCCGACGTTGTTTATGAAGCCTATGATTCCTTAGCTTTGCCGGGACGAAATTTGCCACCAACAAGCCTTATCAATCCACCACCAATTCAAGCCGTAGCTTCCTCATGACTTATAATCATACTATCACCGTGAACTAGGGAAGACCCTTTTTTTCTATGATGCACACATATTTCTAGATTGAGGCTACCTCCATCATTTGATATCAGTTTAAGTCTCACCCGCCAAGATCTGGAACTCAATTCACTCAAGCCGAGTGCTTGTCTCTTTGGAGGACCAAGTCTTTGACAATCTCTTCTGGCATTGAACTAAGTCATTACCAAACTTCTCAGTTTTGTTTGCTTCATTGCTATGTTGCAAAGGGCCTTATCATTCCTTGTTTGACCTCCTTGCTAAATTTAGCTGTGCCGTTCGACTCTACCGCTAGTTCAATCCATGGCAAATTCCCTATTATTTTATGGACTCTTATGGATGTTGGAATGTTCTCTCAACTATTGGCCTTTCATTTTTAACATGGCCGACCTATGGGTTGTGTTTTGATCATGTATATTGGGACTTTTTTAGCATCTGGCAGATGGCATTTCCACTGACTGCACACTATCGTAGCATCACTCGTACATCTAAATTTTGTATTCGGATAAAATGTTAGCTTAGTCAGTATGAATCCTATGTGAACTTAATTTAACTGCCTACACTTGCCGGGAGTGCCTCAAGTATCTTGACCGAGGTGAAAGAGGCTTGAATATGGAGTTCTTTTGTGATAATTTTCTCCACTTGAATACTACTTTCTTAATCCAGAACTGCCCTCCTTTCAATTTCACAAGTTCTAATATTCATATTTCTTTCCTTTTCAGCCACAAACCAATGGTTTATTCCAGTGATGAAAGGGGACATCCCTCCAGGATGTGCCGCCTATGGATTTGTAGTAGACAACACGAGGATCCTTGTTTTTGGAGGGATGGTAGAGTATGGAAAATACTCTAATAGGTTGTACGAGCTTCAGGTTAGTTGGAGTATGTCTCCTCAAGTTGAGCTTTTCAGCATAAATTTTTTTCGTTGAGAAAAATGCCTGTCTTTTTTCCTGTTTTCTAATGTTTTTCCAATAAATGTGGCAATTTCCTTGTACCTAATTTTGTTTCTTTTTCATCTAAGGGATAAGTAGTGTTAATTTTTCTCTCAGGCCTGAATAGCCATTTTATTGTATGCCCTGTCTACTTTTTTTTAGTCTTCAGCCTCACTTTTTCCCTTCATCGCCAATGAGGACCTTTAAAACAAAATCTGCCACCTCAGTTTGCAAGTTTTCACAATTCAAAATTTGTATTTATTTTCTTCCAACATACATGATTCCTTTCATGAGGTTTATTTATTATTTAATCATTTATCTACTAATTTGTGATGAAGCTTAGAAAAAGGGGACTCAATGTGGAAAGGGCGGAATTCAGGATAAGTATACCATTGTCCATAGGCGTTAATTTGGCAGACAAATCGCTCTAAAATTTTCCAAATATACTTTATTAGGGCACCTCAGAACCACGTCTTTACTTTTTATTTTAACAATTGTTTGCACCATTTCTTTGTCCTACCAATTCATGAAGTTTAATGTCTCATATCCTGTTTTATCTGTGCCCAATGTTCATCAAATTAATATTAAAATTACAGGCTAGTCGCTGGGAATGGAAAAGGCTGAAACCAAAAGTTCCGAGAAATGGACCACCTCCGTGTCCGAGACTGGGACACAGTTTCACACTAATTGGCAATAAAGTTTATCTTTTTGGCGGCTTAGCAAATGACAGTGATGACCCTAAAAACAATATTCCCAGGTAAATAATCAAGCGAAAAAAGCGCATTGTCTTCACAGATAGTCTTTCTGAGCAGTTCATTTCTTATCGAACTTCAGTACATTAGTGTATTGATTGTAGAATTTTCCTGCGGTGAATAACCAATGACATGATTTCTGGATTTAATGAAAGCTATTGCTCCTCTGGGTTTGGTGGAATCTTTGTTAACCTCAAGAATAACAAAAATGGCGGAGAAATGATCAAACAATGATTTTAAGGAAGCTTTTTTTCAGACTTGAGTAAGCAACTTACTTTCTATAGATCATGTGTTGAGCAATGAGCATTTGCCCAAAATTGTATTAGATTCAAAAATATTCATTCATCTGTGCTTTTCCTTGAGTCTCTAAATAAGTCATGAGAATAACTGAAAACTTACTTAGGTCATTTCTTGAAATACCCATGCATAGTACTGGGCATTTTACAGGAAGACTGTTTCATTTGAGGTAAATTTGAAATTTTGTATGTTTTACCTTTATTCTCAATTTTATTAACCCATTCGCCGCATTTGACAAGTATACTTATCAGCGCGTCTGCAGGACATATCTCAGTTGACGAGTTAATTCTCGGCATCTATTGGTGTTGCCACATGGTTGTGTTGGTCATGTTTTTTTTCTTTTCCGATAGATGGCATCTCAAGCGTTGCAATGCTATCAGATAGTGCGAGTCAACTCGTCAGCTGAGATATATCCTAGGCGCGCGCTGGCGAGTAAAGTCGTCATATGAGGAGAATGGGTTAATAATAGAAAGTGAATAGAAATTTCTCAACAGATCTTGTTGTGCTAATTACATAGGCAATTTTGCAAAATTCTAGGCATAAAATATTCTTCAAGCTGTTCTCTTGATCAACCTGGATGCTCAACATTTATGGTTAATAAAGTTACTCTTGTTAATAATCACTTGCCTCAATTTATTCCAGGTATCTAAATGATTTGTATACTCTGGAACTGCATCCTAGCGGTGCTACATCATGGGAAATCCCCCAAACTCGGGGAAACGAACCACCTCCCAGAGAGTCTCACACAGCATGTGGTTACACAGACCCTGAGGGTCATTCAAAATTAATCATCTTCGGAGGAATGAGTGGCAATCGTCTCGGCGATCTTTGGATGCTTGATATAGGTTGGTAAATCCATGCGCTCTAGATATTCTGTCTTTTGTTCAATTTTTCAAAAAATTGACAAATGTTTCTTCTTAAGCCTATGACTCCTGAGTTAGATTTCAACACCACACTTCCCCAACCGTAAGCTAGGAATAAAAATTCTGCAAAAATGACTGTTTTTAGCTTCTTTATTACTTTCATTCCCTTACTTCTCAACCAAAATAGCTCGAATTTTGTGTGCCTTATCCTTAAGTATGTAGGAGTGAAGATCAGTCATCAGAAGTTAATTTTCAGCACCCCTTTTTTTAAAAAAATAAATACCTAACACCAAAAAATGAAAATTTTAGAAGTTTCAAGACTAGAATGGGCCTGTTGCATGCAAGAGATACAGCCGTGCGAATAGACTTCTAAGAGGTTAAATGCCACGAAAATTACGATGGTCACATTAAAAAAGTCTGAAATACACTCCTTACTGCGCAATTTGTGTTGTTAGGAACGCGCTTTTTCAAATTTCCCGCGTCTGGGGGCAGTTTTCTAACGAAAACAATTAACGGCAACTCGCGGCTATTTCCGGTCAACTAAAACTGACAACATAACCTAAAAATCGGAGCTCGTGACATCGTGAAATGAAATGTAGAAGGATTGCGTTGGATATTTAAAAGTTGATCGATTTGGTTACCGCATAAAGCGTATATGGACCACTATAGGAGATCACGTTGGGTTTGTAAACAAACTGAAGGAAAAAATAACAACAACAACAACGACTCGGCAGCTTCCGGAAATCACCGAGCCCGCCGTTTGCTCGTTTCCGGTGATTAGAAAACTGCCCCCAGACGCGGGAAATTTGAAAAAGCGCGTTCCTAACAACGCAAATTGCGCAGTAAGGAGTGTATTTCAGACTTTTTTAATGTGACCATCGTAATTTTCGTGTCATTTAACCTCTAAGAAGTCTATTCGCGCGGCTGTATCTCTTGCATGCAACAGGCCCATTCTTGTTGGTAGGGTCTCAGTCTGTAGGAGTCAAAGAGACTCTTTAACATATAACCCTTAAACTCGCATGAAATGAAAATCTACATCTAATCTTGAATTTTATTTTATGGTGTAATTTATCATGAGCCAAAGGTTTTATTAGAAAGAAAAACCAAACAAAAATTGTTTTTCCCCAAGTGCAGCATCATATCATTTGATACCACAGGGTTGTCACAGGCAGGGAGTTTTAAAAAGTCAGGGAAAACCTGGAAATATTAGTGAAAATGACAAAAGTTTCCCAGAAAAAGTGTTAATTTACTTTTATTTGCTTTCCAGAGTGGGTTTGATGTTCTGAACAACCAGTTATGCCTGAAAACTATTAAGTCTTTTCAGCCACGTGGCATATCTTCAATTGTTAGATAATTTTGCCATAATGTGTCTGGGTGACATCAGGGGATTTCATTTTCTAAATTTTGTGGCAATCCCATTACCAGCATCAAACACTGATCATTCTATTCATAGAGCCTTGTGAATCTTTGTTTGAGTACATTATTTTTTATCGCTTTCAGACACTATGATGTGGACCAAACCAGAGGTTGTCGGAATCCCACCCTTACCGCGATCCTTGCATACAGCTACCATGATCGGCAGTCGTATGTTCATCTTTGGTGGCTGGGTTCCTTTGGTTCTTGATGATGTCAAAGTAGCAGCCCATGAAAAAGAGTGGAAATGCACCAATCAATTGGCCTGTTTGAACCTAGGTAAGTCCAGGGAAGCCGCAAATCCTTTTGAACAAAAATTAGTCGCAATCTCTACTGTCTGTAGTGTATTTTTCCCCGAGAAAATCGAGCCCTTACCCATTTGTACCGGTATTTTGTGGTGAGCTATATTTATTTTCATTTTTCTTTTGTTATGGTTAAAACGGTTGGAGAGAATTATGGACAGACAGGGAGATGGTAAATCCAAGGGTCAGGAAAAACCTGGAAAGACAGGGAGAAGAGGAGGGAAATATTGCGAGACACCCTGCTCTCTCTTACAAGAAATTTTGTCATTGTTTCAATTTGTTAAGTGTCACTAATCCATCAAAATTCAGTGAAATAGCATACTTCTCAGAACTTCTTAACAGAGCAGTATTGGTGGAGTTATCAACATAGCCTTTGCAAAACCTATCAATTTGTGTCTGCGTGAAAATGGTCATTTTACCAGTTGATATATTTTGAAGATCTCCTGTTGGAGCTCATGAAATGTCTTTCACACAATCCGTTGTCTGTAGTTTAATTTAAATGCTACTGTTGTAGAACATATGGCTTGGGAAAACTTAATCATGGAAACTGCCGAAGAAAACTTACCAAGAGCACGAGCGGGTCACTGTGCTGCAGCCATACATTGTCGCGTTTACATTTGGTCAGGAAGAGATGGTTACAGGAAAGCATGGAATAATCAGGTGACTAATGTAAATAGAGTCTTTCATTTACTTCATTTTCGTCCTTTTTTCCTCCAGTTAATTTCTGTTTAAGTTGTGACCCCTCCTCTGCCTCTCAAGTGTGAAGACTAACCATCGGAGACATTTTTTAATCAAAATTTTTGCGGTCACTAACTGTCAGTTAAAAGCTGAACCCAGAATTATTTCATTTTTTTTAAAAGTGGCTTTCTTGCAAAGTGTTTTTGTTCTTTCTCTTTTCTTTATTTTTCTTTATTTTTTGTAATTTTTCAATTAATCTAGTCGCTGGTGCATCTCTAAAATCTGCGACAAGTACAATATTAAAACTGCGGTTGCCTCTGGACTGAGTTTACACCTTAATTGAGTATTTTTAGAATATTAACACCCCTCTATTTATCTTAGGGCGTGAATTATTAAACCAAAATTTGTCTTTGGAAAGTTTTTATTTTATTTTTATTTTTTTTTTTTTTGAAAATTTAATACTCATTTATTAGCCTTTGAAAAGTTCATGGAACAGACCTCTAGGGTGCACAGGTTAGGCAAGCAAAATTCTCTTTTGAGTCATATTTTGCTTTAATAGTAGTCACTCCAACTAGGATTTGCTGAAAGACAGCTCTATCAAAATCAGTATAATGTTCAATGTATTTCTTTCCACTGAGGTTACGCATGCTGTGTCTTTTCAAATTTGGATTTTCAAAATAATGATTTTGTTCTTAGTCGAAGGTTCGTAAACTTTCTGTGTTAGCCAACTAAGTTGAATTGTTGTTAATTTTATCATATAGGGTTACTGCTTTACCACTTGCTCACTGTAAATTTCTCTACAAACCTCATTTGGATGTATTTCTGTCAAACAGAACTAAGCGCCAATTTGAGTTCCTTTTGAGGAATTTAGAATGCCAGATGCGCGTTCTGTCAAACGGAACTAAGCGCCATGGAAAAGCATTGCGAGTATAGAACGGAATGAGCCCGGCGTCCGGTTCTGCCGCCAATCCAAGCCCCCCTCTACCCTCTTCCCCCTATGGCGCTTAGTTCCATTTGACAGAAATACGTCCATTTAATCAAGTGACCTCACAAGTACTGGTCATTCATGAGGGTCTGGAAAATTAATTTTAAAAAATCAATAAACAACACTGATTTCTAATTAGGAACCCTAGAAATTCTGTTTTAAAATGGGAGTTACTCTGTGTACCCAACGTGTGTGAAAATTGTTTGCTCTTCCTTCCAGGTTTGTTGCAAAGACTTATGGTATTTAGAAGTTGAGAAACCCAAATCGACTGGAAGAGTCCAATTAGTGCGTGCATCAACAGATTCTCTAGAGGTTTGCTGGCAAGGAGTGCCAACAGCTGAATCCTATATTCTTCAAATTCAAAAGTACGAGATGCCACCGGCCAGCCAAGGAGCGTCTCCTGCGGCTCCCGCTCTGCCACAATCGGAAACTCCAACCACAACTCAAACCCCTGTCTCTACGGCAACAACTATCTCAGGTAATCATCTTGAATAAATTTTCACATAAAAAAATTTAACAGACTTTTTTTCTTCCTACAAAAAGATGACATCCCTATTCGTGATCTTCCATAAAAAAGGGACCTCGGTACATTGAGACAAAAGTTTTTAGGACAGCAATTTATCCCAAGTTGGGTCGAAAATTCAGACTTGAGTTTTCAGTTGTGGAGGTATTTCTACCAAACGGACCTAAGCGCCAATTTGAGTTCCTTTTGATGAATTTAGAATCCCGGATTGCGCGTTCTGTCAAATGGACCTAAGCGCCATGGGAAATCACTGCGAGTATAGGACGGATTGAGCACGGTACCCGTTTCCGCCGCCAATCCAAGCCCCCCTTTACCTTCCCCCCCGATGGCGCTCAGTTCCGTTTGATAGAAATACGTCCAGTTGTAAATGCTCTTTAGTGCCAACAGAGAGCTTATAGCTGCATTTTATTCAACATTTTTAGCTCTGAACATGGTGGGTATAAATTTTGAAGAGCCTCCTCCTTTAACAATGTTTTTTGACTCGTAAACTTCAAACCATCAGAATTCTGGGTTGGTGAAATACTGTGGAGCATTTTTTTTGTAACAGCTCCAGAGATCTTGGGACTGATGTCCCCCTTTCCATAGACAGTTAAATCATTTTCAATGATTGTCATACACCATTTGATCTTCGACATAATTAATCAATGATTTACTGGGAGTTTTCACTGATTAAAATTTGCAAGGTTATATTTAAGCGAGGCATATGATAGAAAGCACGATCTTAAAAGCAAATTGTTTATCAAGCAACTATTCACTGTTAAATCCATTTTTTTTTTTTTTTTTTTTTTTTTTTTTTTTAAATTGATGTATTTTAAAGTTTTAATTTTCTGTTGAACAGAGTCTCTACCTGTACCTTCAGCGGCTACGCAAGTAACCAAATCTATTATTTCACCTATAGTCAGTCAGCCAGTAATGGCAGGAATACATGCCCTAGCCAATGCTGCCTCCAATACGCAAAAGCTTAAAGTGGCCGCAAGCCCAACTGCTGTAAGTATCCTTTCATTTGTTCCAACTGTTTTTTGTTTGGCACCATTGCTAATTTTTCATCAGGAGCTCAACTCAAGGGTCCGAAAATGGTCAAGAAATATTAAAAGTAAAAGCTCTGATGAATATTTATTCTTCAATCAAATCTTCAGTAGTTTTTTTAAGCATACCTGGTTTTTTGACAAACGCACATCGCGCCCTCTTCTGATTGGGTGGATTCAACTGTAATCAGCCCAAGTGTATTTCTTGTTGCCTAATTTTATCTTGTGTTTTATTTTTTTAAACGGAGAACTAAGCTACCTAACGCCTTGAAACTCTCTGCAAATTTATCTTAAATAATGAAGAATTTCACAAAATTTCAAGTCTCAGTGTTGCTTAGTCAGGGCTTCTACTCCCGGGAAAACAGGGGAAACCCAGGAAATTTGATAGTTGAAATAATGTAGAAACCCTGCTTAGTTTTCTGTTTGGAAAGTAAAACAACACAGAAGATTAGACAACGTTAATTCCATATTGTGATTCAACCTGTCCAATTTTGTATGCACTCCCAACGAACATATGGTGCCAGTTCCAAGCCATTGCTCTCATGTCCTTTCCTGCGTAGATACCTTGATATTGCGTAAGGATGTTCAATTAATTAGTATTTATGATGTCCCTATTCTTTGCTGTATGTACTCACTTAATTTTTCTCTTCTCTAGGTGGCTAAATCAAGAATGACAAGTCCTATCCAAAATAATGCTATAAAAATTATTCAAGCCAAAACACCCGAAACAAGACCGCTCTTGGTCACATCCAGTGCGGCAGCTGTGTCAAGTAAGTATTTGCTTTATCCTCAGCTCAGGAGCAAAATTTTCAGTTCTTAGAAACTATTTTGCCTGCAGAACATAGATATCCGTAACCTTAATCCCTTTGTGTGATAGCTTAGTACACTTAATACTTTTTCTTGAGCGAGGTTTCAATACTGCTGTGCTAAGAAAGAATGCTGTGAAAACCTTTAGGCATCGCCAAATTTTCTTTGATAAAATAAAAATTCATTGAAAAGTTGTAAATATACTTCCTTCAATTTTTTCAGACAACTTTGTTTACAGTTTAATCTCATATATCTAAACATTTTGAGGAAAAATATATATCACTTTCTTTCAAGAGAAATTTTTTATCAGGGGAAAATTGGCACTACAGTAGAACCTCGCTGAGTCGGAATGCTTCGGAACCGAGGATTCGCTCCGACTTAGTGGGGTTTCCGAGTTAACCGGACTTCGTATTATTTCATTCCACAATTTCAACAAACTGTGATGAAAAATTAAAATTTAGGAGATAAGAGAGCTTACAGCTTGATGAAGGTTAAGCCACGAAAATTACTGTCTGAAATATAACTTCAAAAGGTCCATCATTATCAATGTAAATCTTTTTCTCCTTTGCAGCCGTCAGATCGTTAACTCCTGGTCAGGCTGTTTTGAAATCAATCTCAACGACCCCTGGAACACAGCAAAAAATCATCCTTCAAAAACCTGCGGTCGGCTCGCCTGGCAGTGCAGCCTCTGGAGCAGGGACTCCTCAAATAGTAACGCTTGTTAAGACCAACCAAGGAATGACTGTTACGGTTAGCACTTTCCATTTATTCCTACAAACCTTTATCGGTAGAGAATGGACACTGAGGGATCCATTTCTGATTGGTTCATCAATCTTAGGTTTGGTTCGTGGGGCTGTCTGAGATCTCTAAAATGGTGGATTTTGCAAGCCAAAGATTGAAAATGCGGTTTTGTTTGATCATAGCACCGTGAATTCTTCTCAAATTGCATGTGTTCATACTCTGTTTTGAAATCAGTTTTATTTATCACATCAGAGGAAAATGCTTTCAACATGGACCTTTGCTATAGGAAGGTTGCCAGCATTAGGAGCAAGTAATTACTGTTAACAGATGGCAACAGCCCTCTCCCTTACGAAATCATTGCACTATTTCTTGGTCCTTAAGGTCTTAGTGGGTCCTAGACTCACACTTTCACCGTAAGTGCAAAACTTTGTTGGAGAGTTACATTGTTATCAAGAATCCAGGACTTCAAAAGAAACCTCATTTAATGGACTCTCAGAAGTACAAAATCAATTCTCTGTACGGGGACAGTTTTATAGTTGTGCAGATTATACCAAACATCGCTATTTTCAATGATTTCAGAAAACTTCCAAAAGTTATGATATTTTTTTTAAAACTTCGGAAATTAAGAGAAAAAGGGTTGTTCATACAATAGTGGTTTCAGCAATATTTTTGTATGATGAAAGAATCTCATCGCATGTGAATTGAACCAATTATTTTGTTCATTTTATATTATTTTGTGGAAAAATATAACGAGTATCGGTGAATTAATTTTTGAACTTCTGTTTGCAGGTTCCGAAAGTGAATCTTATTCAAGGTAAAACAGGCACCATTCCTGCAGGGAAAGCGTTACCTCCTGGAGCAACAATTGTGAAACTAGTTAGTGCTCAAGGAGGAACCACCAAAGGTAAAATGCTCTAAATTTCTTAGTGTTTTCTCCACCTTCACATCGTAGGGTGCAAAAAGAACTTGATCTTTCATTTTGCATTCATGGGAAATTTAAGAAAAATATCTGGATATGAGTGGAAAGGAAACTGAGAGGAAAATAAATAATAAGGAAAAAAAACAAGGGGGAAAAACGGGAAACAAGACTAAAAATACAACACTAAAATCCTGAGACGTTTCAACTCTAAACTGAGCCATTTTCTGTAGGAAAATGAATTAATAATTAAAAAATATCGATGAAAAAACCTGAGACCTACCTGTTGGTGACCAAGACCTGGGAGAAACACTGAAATCTAAAAATGACTCAGTTTTGAGTCGAAACGTCTCCGGATTTTTGTGTTATATATTTAGCTTTGTTTCCCGTTTTTCCCCCTTGTTTTTTTTCATGTTACCTTTGTCTCAGGCTGCTTTGTAAAAATTTATATCTATGAAAATAAATAACTCAACCATAAGCGGAAACGTGTCTACACCCTTAGCAGTTATCAGTCCTGATTGTGGGTTGCAATGCCTAATCTGAAACTTTAAGTGCTATAACTTGCCGAAGAATGTGAATTTTGCCAAACTGTGTTTCATTCCTTTTCTTAAATCACTTTAAGCCCAATGTAAAATTTGGAATGTTAATTCTAATGAATATATTCCTGCTATTTTGAAGCGATCTCTCAGAGGTCTGTATGATGAAAAAAACTTCAGTTGCATGAACAGGCATCCTTTCCATGGCCATGGACTGCCTAATGTGATGTGTACTTAATTTTGATCGGGTCACACATTTTCAACTTACATGCTGTATTCTTTATGTTCAGTTGGTGGGAAAATGTTAACAACCATGAAAACGATGCCATCAAACTTAGTAACTGTAAACAAAGCTGTCACTGGTGCCAACACGAATACTCTGACTGCTGGCAAACAGCAGACTATTGTAATAACGAAACCAGGTGCTGCTGTTCGACCCAGTCCGCAGCAAATAATTGTGGTCACAACTGCTGGTCTGAGGACGGTGCAAGCTGTCACTACCTCTCAAGCAGGTTAGTTCTATCCATTTTATATGTCTACATTTTTACGTAAAGTGAATATGTATTCAGAGTTGATTCTGCAAGAAACAACAATGTTGGGTTGCAAAAAAATCGGAAATGATTTCTATATCATGGCCTTTCATGTTAAATTCTAACACTCATGAGTTGTAGTAGCACGAGTTTTAATCAAGATTTTACCTTGAAAAATCAGGGAAATAAAGACCATTCTGACTACACAGTATACGTTGTTCAACTCTCTCTCTTTACAAGTATCCAAGAGCCTTTATATTTTGTAGCCAAAATATGCAGATAAATAGGGAGTAAATTGAGACGCATACAGAAGTGAGTGTATAGTTCTCCACCAAAGGCTCAGCAAAGGTGCGCTTGATTTTAGCAATCCTCACTTGTTCCCAATGAATGTTTTCAACCCTCCTCAGAAGGGGAAGAATCCTTTACGAACATATTGTGTTGTGGAAACTCCTTTTGTTCCATAAATTTTATTTTTATTTTAACAAACATTCTCCTTCTTCTTCTTTGTCCTCGTGAATTATGAAATGTATCATCATTAGATTTGTATTGTCATTTCAGGAGGTCTAACATCAGCAAGTGGAGCAACTGGAATGCGGATGGTAGTGGTTTCATCTGCAGGTACCGGCGCTCCTGTTGTAGGCAAACCAATCACCATCACTGTCCCTGGATCAGCGCCTGGTGTTCTTCCTAAAACTGTTACCATTGGTGGTAAAACCACCACTCTGACACCTGGAACAACAGGGGTAAGAACTGTTGCATTTTCTACTTCCTTACTTGTTTTCAATACTTGCTATACATTTGGACGTATTTCTATCAAACGGAACTAAGTATCATAGGGGGAGGAACGGAGAGGGGGGCTTGGATTGGCGGGTGTTGCGGCACGCGATGCTCGCTCCGTCCTATACTCGCAATGCTTTTCCATGGCGCTTAGTTCCGTTTGACAGAACGCGCTATTCAGGATTCTAATATCCTCAAAAAGAACTCAATTTGGCGCTTAGTTCCGTTTAACAGAAATATGTCCATTTAATACCCTTTTTTTCTCTCTGTCTCTCTCTCTCATCACACATTCTTTTGCAGTTTCAGGGNGGGGGGGGGGGGGGGCTATCGAGATGTCATATTTTCATGTCAATGGCCTAAGTGCCGAACCATTTAACTCCGTTTGGGACATTGCAGGCTTGCTGTTGTACTTTATTTTTTCCTTGTAAAACTAGTCAGTGTGTTTTCTGAAAAACTTCCTTAATTTTTCCTCACTGTTAGTAGTATACTCAGGAAATTTCAAGCTATAAAGTTGGCTATTTCTTCTTAAAAAAAATAGAATTTGAGTGGAGATTTTGAAACACCTTATTGGAGATACGTTGTTTTACATTTCGGCAATCGCCATATTTACAACTCGAAAATCAATTTATCAACTGAAATTGGTAAACATTACTGGAAATAATTAACCCCTATTTTGAAGGTCACTTGTCTCATGGAGGGTCTCAAGTTACTTTGATTAAATGTATGAATTATATTATGTTCCAATTCATTTCAGGCTATCACAATTGGAGGAAAACCTGTCACAGTGCAAATGGTGAGTGGACAAAAGAATCTGGCGTTCGTTGCCCCTCCCAACAGTACTGCAACAACTGCGTATTCAGGTTCTATTCTGTCATCATTAACGAAAGTCTTGAATACGTCATCTATACAAAATAATGCCACCGTTACAGCGCAATTAAAGCCGAAAACGACTCCAGGTAATAAAGACCTTTCATGAATTCCTATTCATTCTTCCCCTCAACTGAATCAGTACTTTTCAAAGGATGCAAGTCCAATTTTTTGGGGTTTTTTTTTTTTGTTGCATTCTTGGCGCTCTTTTTTTGTGACATTTGTGTTCCTCTACGTCTGTCACTTGTGTCCCAAGAAGCGAACTATTGCTGCCTACCGCAAAGTTTATTAATGCCAAAAAAAAAAACCATTTTGAATAATTGACCTCTGTCCTTTTTATAAGCTCTGATTCAACTGCAATAGCATCCCTGAAGGTGAAAGTGAATAACTCAAATGCTTTGAAGCATAACAGTCACCGCCCAGCTTGTCATACCAGCAGAGAATTCAGTTTAAGCAAGATCTCTAAGAATTACTTTGACCCTCCATGTCATGTTCGGATTCCAAGAGACGCAATACTTTGCTGTAGCTTTTGTGAAAACATGGATTCCCCAATTTTTTCCTCAAAATTTCAAAATTTTGGTGATCACTTTTTTTCTAAAAGAAAACATTAACGAACATTTTGAATATCATGCCTCAAAAAGAGCAACTGTTCCAATTTTTGAAAAAAAAAACACCCCAAAAAAATACGGTGTTACGCATACGTAACACCATGCCAAAGAGTGTTATAATGTTAAGTTCTCACTCAGTTGTGGAAGTGAGTATTTCTTACTAACTGCATAATGTAGGACCATTTGAACTAAAAACACCAATTTTTTCGACATTTTCATGGATTTGCCAGCAGAAAATATATTTTACCTGTTGTAGTCAACATGTTCACAATGATGTAAATTAGTAAACTGGTGCCATAAGAATCATAAAAAAACATAAGAAATCCATTAAATAGGTGGAAGCTCTACATAATTGAAATTTATGGGTACCAATGGACCACTAGACAAGGTACGAATTTCAGCATTCTGATACATGTTTCTTAACCAAAATTTTGTGCAAAATGCGATGCGGACAACGAAAATTACCAAAATCAACTCCTTACAAAGATATTCAACGATTCTTGATGCGTGAACTCAAACCACCAGCTCATGAAAACTTAATGCTCTATGTGATTCACATCGCACGCTAAACGTTATCACGACAGTCTCTGCAATGTAAAAATCTGGCAACCTCAATCTTGACGCTTTTGGCTCAGCTAGAGCTTCGAGTTTCTTGTGAGTGGGCAGTTCAAATTCCTCGTAACCAATGTAAAATAAAAACGTTAATATCTTCTTTAGGAGTTGGTTTCAGTAATTTTCGTTGCGCAAATCCTATTCTACGTGAAATTCTGGTTTAGAAATATGTATCAGATTGCTTAAATTCGTACCTTGTCCAGTGGTCCATCAACTATGCCATCTAGCATCACTCAAATGAATTTAAGACATGCAAGAGCAAGTATTAATCAATGGATCAGTTGTGCTAGTAGCAAAATCATGTATTGCAGATCTCAGATTATAAAGAAGAAAGGAATTTAATGAAATCTGTCTAAGTGCAGAGTATCAAGTAAAATTCATGACTTTTTTTTTATTTGGTCAACAGTTGAACAAGCTCTAAGTAGTGGAGAAGTAAAAAGTATTAGCAGTGTTCAAGGTGACATAGATCTCTCCCAAATGGATGCAGATGAGTCGAATCAAATAGAAGGTAAGTTCCTTTTTCCAATCCTTTCTTTCCTCCTCGAAATTCTGACTTTCCTATTTTTATTTTTTCCCCCACCTCAAGTAGTCGTCTGAGACTAATCCCTATTTAAACCTCTGGATCCCTACTCAGGCACCAGCCGCTGCTGATCTATACTAAAAACGGGGCCATCTAGGTAGGATACTATAGATGACTTGCGATTGTGGAAAATCGACTTAATCCTCCCGGACATACTTTTCTCAAAAGTTAACATCAGTGATCAGGATTCTGAGCATCATTTTATGTTTTTGACATTGAATAGTCAGAAATATATTGAAGAATTATTTTGTTAAGTATCAGGGGAAAATTTCACAATTAGTGAATTAACATTAAAAAAAGAAGGCATTATGCATGCTCAGGTATTTGATTAACCTTATTTTTTCATTTTTGTCTTATGAAAAGTGTGCAATGACAGAAAAACGTCTTACTTAAAGCAAATTTTTGCGATCGAATATTATTCATTGAATGAATTGATCAGTGCTGAGTGAGCCCGATGATCGGTGATGGCAGGAGCCAATCAGCGTTCAGATTTTTTTTTACATGAAATTAACCCATTCCCTTAACAATTAATTTTGCATGCCCGCGCACAGAGCTACTATTTAATTTTGCTGTAAAAAACTGTATTTGGTTTCTTCTTAGTTTTCTGCTTTTCCTGATAATTAGGAGCAAGTTTTTGGCCTAATTCTTATTAGTTATAACTAGAAGGATGTTTATATGAATAAATTTGCCTAGATGTTGCACTTTTTCTGCAGTAAGTCAGCTTATGTCAGGGGAATTTCCTGAGAAAAAAAAAAAAAAAAATGTTAAATTTAGGAGAAAAATCTTATTTATTGCAACCAGGCAAGAAAACATGCAAACCAGCAGCACAAAAACTCTTAAAACATATGCTCAAATAAGATCTAAGCACCAATTAGCACCAAAATAAGAAAAAAGAGCGAAAATAAGCTTACATCTCGTTGTTGTGATTCATTGATAACAAGAAAATAAACAGAGAGCAAGTTTCGAGGTTATTCCAATCTTCCACATTTTCAAACTAACAAAATTCCCTATATTCGGGGAAATTACCGTACAAAACCAATACAGGTTGGTCATACTGCTTCTAGTTACAACATCTGTCGATTTACGTGGCGCTATCTATCGTGAAAACATCAAAACACGGCAATACGCGTAGCCAAGTTGCATGACGAGTGGGACTCGTCATTTCACGTTTGTCCCGGCGCGGCCATGACGAGTCAGGCTCGTCATATTAAGGGAATGGGTTAAGAAGAAAATAAGAAAACATGGAACACTAAAAACATAGCAAATTGCAAAAACACCAGACTTGAATTGACAAAACACAAAAACAGAAAGAAATGACGAAACAAAAATTCTGGTGAAGGATGAAGTTTCTGGCATCGGTTGCATCAAGTCCCGAGGTGAATTCGAAATTTCAAATCGATGGATTTCAACGGTCTCTGGTGAGAGTAATGAAGAAGTCAAATATCATTTAAAAAAATGCACGATCGTCGAATATCATTCAACGGTGAATGATATTCGATCGCGGAAATTCGCTTTAAGTCTTAATTGATGTGCAACGCACCAATAACCCCGTACCCTCAACCTAACTTATGCTTTTTTTGTAGGTGTGAAAAATGTCGTGTGGGAACAGGATGGGATGGATGTGACGGAAGACAGTGAAAATAGCGCACTCCAAACAGGAGTTCTTGCCGAAGACAGCATGGAAGTAGATAGCCAGTAATTGTTTTAAATATGTGTAAATTTTCTCCCTTTGGTTTCTGCTCTTGTGGATTGTGGCAATTAATGTGGCCCATTAGCTCATCAATTCTCAAGCTAGAAGCTGCACATGATTGTGCAATGGTTCTCTGTAAAGTGTACATTTTTTGACTAGAGTAGATCGAATTGAATTTTGTAAAATAGCCAGACAAAGCTCTCGCCATTGTTCCCTGTGCCTCAGTCTTGTGGGGGTTTCAGATGATTATTTTGATAGGATGGATAAGTGTGACTGCGAAGTTTCTTTGGATTTCCTTCCCAGTTTCTTTTGGATCTCAAAGCTTTCACTTTCTTAAGTGAAATTTTAAAACTAATTAATTGCCCATAAAAAATAGGGATGGTGAAGAATTGCAAAATTTATACAAATTCAACTTCTGTGTATATGTAGGGTAAATAATCCTAATTTTATCAAGGCTAGAGTATAAAAGGTCTGAAAAAGAGGTGATTAAAGCCAGGTAATTACTCGATGTCTACGAGAACTGTATTGTCAAATCAGATGTGTATTAAGAATCTGTACCTTTAACAGGTATGTTGACTTCATAAGCCAAATTCCTAAGATACAATGTTTTGTATAGATGTTATTCTGATCCAATTGTGATAACCCTTTTTATTTAAATGTTTTTACTTGTAATGACTAATAACGATTGCAGCCTTCACTGTACTTTGTCCAGTAGCTGCAATATTTCTATCGTAAAATGTCCGCAACCAGATTTCTGCAGTATGTCTCCTGCAAATTCGAAAGAATTTGAGTGTATTCTTGGCTAGTGTTGGTCCAGATAATGGAATCATATGCTCCACTCGTTTTAACCTGTACAAATGGTCTGAATAATCTTAAGAGACAACTTCAAAACGAAAAATTTTCCAGTTCCTCCTGTCAAAACTATACATTAATTTTGTTCAAATCGAAGAGGCATCTCTTATCAGCCAGAAAGTATAAAAACCTTCATTTTTTATTTTTATAATTCAACTGATCTGTTCTTTGTAGAATCTCTCTCTTGTAAGATGGATCTTCAGCTAATATGAACAAACAGCAAGATATCAGTCACTGTTTAGTGTCTCTTTGCTAAAATACTGTTTGTGCTTAAAGTTCCTGACAACACATTTCCTGCCAATGTGACTTTGCATACAAGTTTCCAGCTAGCCAAGAAACTAGCAAGAAACAGGCCTAATTTTGAAGCCTCTATTACAAGAACTCACTGAGTTGTGAGAAGTATTTTGAAATTCCACTCCTATTACATACTCTGTGTTCAGTAAATTGGTTGGCGTGTCTGTAACCTTCTTATTACTTGGCAGCAGGATGAAGATACTTTGCGGAAGGAACCAGTTGTCAGATCGTTTTGGCTTGTGGCACACGCCTATTTAATGGTCTGTATAACTAACTTGGCAGGAAACGTGTTATCAAAAATGGACCCATTACACTGGTTCGCACATTTTTCATGTTCGGTGTCTATCTCAGAAAACTGCCCTCGTGAATCACTAAATTGTATCCAACTTTTGCAGGCAGAGAAATATAATTATTCCAACGGTCAGTTCTACGAGCCATTGTTTTTGGTTTTAATGCAACAGTTTTTTTCCACTTCTTTTTTCATTGCTCTCGGGAGTAGATCACTAGAATGTGCGACAAATCTGTTCTTTTGACTTCGAATTGAAAGCAAAACCAGTATTTTAATGAAGCGTGTCTGATATCCTATCCAATGCATGATTGTACACAATAGAAATTATCGTTTGATTTGAAGAAAATTAGCTTCATTTCCCTGTAAAGCAAGCACATGCAGCAACTCCAATGTGTGCAGATAAATTGGTTTGATAATTTGCAAGTTTTTTCTGTTGATTCTAATCCACGGCTAATTGTATTGCCATTGTGCTACTCCTGTTGGAAGGAACGTGTTTTGATTATTTAAAAACTTTAAATTGTAACCACCAGCCATCAAGTTGTTAACTTCTTTAACAAGTTCACTGTGCCTCACTGTAATGATGTGTTCTGCAAGGGCCAGACATCAGAAATTAGGACCAAGAATTGCACATTGGAGTCCTCTCCGTCTGCTGTGCTATTCGGAGCGTGTTTTCTTTGTGTCCATTCGAGTGAATTTGTAAATAATATGTCTGATAGAGGGAGCAAGTATTGTTCTTTTCACTTTTCCATCATAAAACACCACTATTTGAAATGAGGTGTGTTTTTCTTTACATTTTGTGGCATTAAGGTAAATACCCACCAAAAAAACTGGTTGCTGGCAACTATCATGTCAAATTAAAAATGAATCCAGAAACTTGTCCTTTCTTACCTGTGTACTGAAACTCCAACCGTAAAAAATAGCAGGCAATGGTTTTTGGTGTGTGCAAAAATAACTTAGGAACTTATTGCCCACAGAAAAGAGGAGATGGGTAGCGATTGGGTGGTGAAGAAAGGGTGGAGGGTAATAAGGAGCCATTTTTTACATTCATTTCAACACATTCATTGCTCTCTCTTTTTTCAACAGAGCCAATGAGGTCTTATAATGGATAGGCTGTAACTTTGTTCAATACAGCTGATGATTTTGTAGTAGGTAGGTACATATGATTGAATTAACCAGATAAGAACCAAGTAACATTATGTTACAATAGAGAAATGAAGTCTAAAATTAACCTTTATGTGGAGAAAAGTGATCGATCTATTTTTGGAATAGTACACACTATTCATAAGCTTGATTTTTTTTTTTTGGTAAGATAATGAGAAGCACTGAAAGAATTTAAAACCACTCATAACTCATTCATCTCGAAAATGAGATTTGGTTCCTTACTGTTGAACTTGGTCCATTTGTGCTAAACCAAGCAGCTCTCTTGTCTGCTTCCCACATTCTTTCATCTTTGTTGTCCCTTTGCTAACGTCTTGAATGTGTTTTGTAGAAAAAAGGCGTCTCTGATCACTTAATATTGAATTGCATAGATTTGATATGTAAGGGCGAAATAGAAAATTAAATGCTTCCAAGCATGCCAGTACACTCAAATCTACAAGCCAGTTGTGCAAAGAAACACATTAGTCAAAAATGTTTTAGTCTCAAATGGACGGCGTTCAGCACAAAGGAACCAAGCCACATCAGCTATTGCCAAATTTAATCGAGCAATTTAGCTTTTTACATAAAAACGGTTGTGCAGATTGTTGTGCAAATTTCAGTGAATTTTCTGCATAGTACAAAGGAAATTCCTTAAAATTTTTGAAAGAACATGCACTAACATTCTCCTGTAAAAAATTAAATTGCCCAGTTAAATTTGGCAGTAGCTGATGTGGCTCGGTCCCTTTCTGCTGAACGCGGTTCAATTGTTCTCAGATACACACAATGCCCCACGGATGGGTTGTCTCTTTGATCAGTGTTTTCTTCTATTTTTTTATCCCTTAATTCAATTTTTTTTGTCAGTTGAAGAACCCCCCATTAGTTGGCCTTTTTTGCCCTTCTTAAAGTCAGAAAGGTTTTCAGTGGTCCTAGTAGTTCTGTTTACTCTTCAACTGTTAAGTCAGAAAGGCCAACTTTCTGCAGGGTTTCAAGCACCTTGATAAAACATTAAATTATGAAAGGCTGCTGTAAATATACTCTCAATCTGGATACCCTGTATCTTAATACTAGGATTAACTTTAATTTTCTAAGTTAATTTATTTATTCTTGTTTTTTTTTTTCTTTTCCTTTCGGAATACACTGATGTAAAGTGTTAGCAGTCAAGGTCTGACTTTGATCATGTTGATTCAAATGTTGCTTGTAGAGATTACTTAAGGATTTTATTCTAGCTGTTATCATTGACATTATCTTCAAAGTTCAGATATCAAATTTTTCCAACTTTTTCAGCAGGATACATTTATGCTGAAGAACCCATCTGGCAGGGTGGTTTGATTCAGGGTGAATTCTCTCCGCAAATGCATCCAATTAGAATTGTACATAGGCAATGTAAAATAATTAATGACTCTGAATATCTTGCTGTTAAAAGAGCAGCTTTGGAACAAAGTCTAAAGTTGCCTTTTCTCGTCTTCCCTTCCTCTCTACTTTCCAAACGTTAAAATTTAAAGTAGCCCCTACTCGGCACGAGCTTAATATAATGCAATTTCAATTAGTCATGATCAAACTCTACATGCAAAATTGACTCCTTCAGAATCTTATAGTCAACAACTTTTAGCTACTTCATAGGAATTTATCGATTAAAATTTGCCCTCTAGTTTGAAAATTGAAAATTGGAGGAGCTAGACTTCTTAAATAGGGAAATTTCGCTTTTAGTGACAAACTCTCAAAAGCGATAGTTTTCTTTCCAAGAGGGTCTGAACTTAGTGGCCTCGAGTCAATAGTGGAACATTTTCAACTGGAAAATCCTGAAAAAATCTCACAATTTTTTTCGAGTTTGATTGTGATTGGATCTTAAGGTTGAACTTTCGTTAGACTAATTGGATTACATTTTGCATTAAGGAACCACTATCTCTGGCTCTCCCATTAAAGCACATATCTGCATAGGGAAGCCAATGGCATGTATGTCCTTTCTAAAATGGGCCAGAAATAGTGATTCCTTATTGCAAAATGAAATCCAATTCATCCAGAACTGAATAATCTTCAATGATTTGAGCTACATTTAAAAAATGTGTATGAATAATTTTGAAGTAAGGGAGACTAATGGTTTTCCAAGGAATTTTTGTCAAAGATGAATGTTAAGAAAATGCTGATGCTTAATACCGATGTCCTGGTCTTAACTTCTCGAGGCCTAATTTATCAAACTGGCATTTTTATTCTCACCATCAACTTTCCTATTTGTTTTAAGGTAGAAGTGATAATTTAAAGAACTTCTCTCATTTGAGGGTCCGAGAAATAAAATTTCTTCTTTAATTAAAAATATTCTGATCCATCATTGACATTCCTATTAGGACTGTTATTTGTCTAAAAACGAGTTGAGCTGTCTGTTGTTTCAAAGATTAACATCCTTATCAAAGAGAGTTTACTGTTCAAGTATTTAATCAATGAGCAAGGCCTATGGCAGTGGGTAACTTGAGCTACCTCATAATGAAAGGGAATAACACCATCCAAAGAATCAGACAAGCTCCAAGTTTTTCCCAGCCGGTATTTAAGTATTTTCACTTCCAGTATTTCATCATGGTTTCACTGTTTTTCAATTCAACATTAGCCTATGTTGTATGTATGAGTTACTTGGGGAAGAGAGATTTTGTGAATTCAAGATAATTTTACTATTGCGTAATTTGTAATTATGTACTAGCTGTTTGTAAATAATGAATAATAAAATATCATGTTTGTATGGAAAATTGAAATTCCTATTGTAATGTTTTTTCCCTTGAAACTTTCAACCCTTACATTGCTCTTGGTGTTCCAGTCTCTTCCAGAAAGACTGGATTTTCAAGTGCTTTTTTAGGGCTTAAAAAGTAAGTCATCTCTTTCTTACCTTGCTGCAAGGTATATCCATCTAGTAAACACAGAAGGTGGTGGCAAGCGAAGAAATGTACTTTTCTACGTCACAGCTGAGGCTGCCCTTCTAATTGGTTAATGGTATCGCGGAGAAACTGAGACCTCTTTGAAATTTAAGAGGAGTGGGATAGGTTGTGAGGCTCCAACTTATTTTGGCTCTAAAAATTCGTAACTATCGACTTTTCATGTTTCAATACGTTATTATATCAATGTTCGACTGTAACTGTAAATAATTTGTAAGTTTAGTATATATTTCATGTAATAACAACTTTTATCTTGACTCGTCCCGTTGTGAAGGTATATCCATGTTAAATTACGTTCTGTGCGTCAAAAACGCAGTCATTGGAGAGGCATGGTAACTAATGTTCGATCACATTACTTTTAATGTTAGATTCAGTGGTGATGTAGGTCCTTATACAGGTTCCATCATGAAATATACTTTTTTTTGAACAGCGCTCTTCACAGCTAACCTTCAAGATGGCTGCCTTGCCACCACCTTCTGTCTTTTCTCCATTAGGTAAAACAGCAATAACTCCACCAATCAAACCATCAATAACTCAATTTCCGATTTTTTGGGGACTTCAGTCTTTCCATGAAAGACTGAAAGACTGATTCAATATGTATCGAGTGAAGAGGATAGGTTATCTTAAAAAATGGTAGAATTTTTATAATAACACAAAAATATTTAATTACTTTGTATTAACAAAATAAATACATTAGTCGGCATTATGATTAATAAAATGTAAAATATCTTATGGAATGCTAAAACAGATACAGAAAAAATAAACTTAAAATGAGGTAATAAATACAGCACGACTCAGATAAATAATTAAAAAAATTGTAATACATTATTATAAAATTATAACAATAAATACAAATTTGAATTTTCTGGAAAAAAAAATAGAAAAAAAAGAGAGAAGATGAACCTCATAGCATGAGATGACCAGCAGACGAACATCGTAATCTGAATTAGAAGAACTAAAAAAGGTAAATAAATATTTTAAAAATGTTTGCTGCGAAGAATGAATGAACTAATCGAAATTGCAAACTAAGAGACTTTTCTGGTATGATCAGAAATGGATAGGTTTCCCACCATCCATACTTGCTATAATCATAACCATTGTAAGACTCATTATCATGGTTAGTGATAATACGATGGTACCAATTTCATTTCAGTACTCAGCATTCTTCAGCCCAAATCCAAAGCACTTTCATAAGACTTCCAGACGATCATGGCGGAAAATTATTATAAAATTGGATTCAATAAGGTGAACCATCTTTAAAGTGATTCTGAGGATAAGATTTAATACTTATGATTGGACTGATTCTCTGATTTCACAGATCAGGACTGGTAGGAAGTGAGTAAGTTTTCAGTCTCAAAAATAAGGAAACGTACCTGTGCCTTTTCCACAGTCAACAACTAAGGCACAGGACAGAACACAAGTTTGGAGCCTTCAATTAGGAAGAGAACGTTGATTTTTGAATTGAGACCTATGTTTTCGACACGGACTAGTTTTGCTAGACTGGCTCCGGGGGTCTTCACAACAACAGCTGTGCCTGAAACTCGAATCGCTTGAGAGTGAGAATCTTCGGTGGGTTGATTAACATCTGCATCAAGCACTACATCACATGTAACATCGACGTGTATGTACTTGACGATAGTTGTTTTGCCGTTTTCGTCATGGATCTGAATCAGAAAAAAAAAAAATTTAAAAATTGGAAGGGCTTTGAGGCTACGATGTAATATTGATAATAAAAAATTGTTCACAGCTTGTTATCGAAAATATACTCTGAGATCCCTCTAAGTGACTTCTGCCAAAGCATGATTGACAGCGAGAGTGATTAATAAGCTTGAAATCATTCAGCTCCAGAGAAACTGAAAAGAGCAAAAAATTTGGTTTGCTCAGTGTAATCATTCCCCCCCCCCCCATAAAAATTAAATTTTTTACAGGAGGGAAAAAACAAAAAATTACACTGAACTTGATAATGCTTGCTTCTGTAAGAAAGTGAAAAAACTGAGGGTATTTGATTTTTAACTACTTAGCCCACACAACATTCATTCACAAAAGAGTCATAGAATCTTTGTCAGCGTTTTGAAGGAATTGTCAAAGTCGTCTCTGTGAATTGATTCATTGCTCAAAAGAAACACAGTCATGAGTAAGCTTTATAAGGTAAAATATTACAAAATCATGTTGAACACATCAGGGGTGTCTTCCAAAGTGCACGATTTTCAAAGTTTGTAGTGTGTATTTTCAAATTTACTGCATCTACAAGTATTTATTCATAAGTTGCTGGAAATTAGGTTTGCCCGGAGAGAAATCTACGAAAACTTGACTTTCAGAAAGATACCATCTTACTAACTTAGGAATACAATTTTTTTCCAGGGGGGGGGGAGGAGGAGGGAAGGAGAGGATGTATAATTTCAATCATTTAAAAGTATTTTGAAGGATTCATCTTTTCCTTGAATGCAGATGAATAAGATAATAGAAAAGCAAAATCAAATGCTTAAAAACGATTTCAGTTAGAAATGAAATAGGTTGATATCAGTTGTCGAGATTATTTCAGTTATCTTGTTAGGTTAGATTTTCTTACAACTCTCCCTGGCCAAACTTGATTGTTGGTGACTAAGGAAAAAGTACCCTAAAGCATGGTAAATTTGAAAACACAGAACACACACAACACAAAACGCACTACACGAACTGTGCGTTTTGGTTTTGGAGTGTGCGTTTGATGTACTCAACGAGATTTTCGTGTAACTATGTGAATAGAAACTTAGTAGACAGTATCTCCTGTGCAGGAGACCCATTCTTCTGGGCAAAGGTGATTGTACTTACCACTTCTTGCTTAATTTCTTCTTGTGGAGCATCAGTCCTGGACACTGAGGCATGGCCGATGAAGTTTCCAGAGGAGTGAATGTCAAATTTCATGCCGCAACTGATTGCGCGTGGTTCAAATCCAAGACCATCTGGATGAGTGTCAGACCAAAAGTAGTTACTGTTACTGTTAATGCTATTGGGATTTGGGGCAAAAGTGATACGTTTGCCGTAGCCAATACCAACGCTGAGAAGAGGTAAGGCTTGTCCGCCGAAAAGGTAACGCTTCGTACCAGCATGACGTACTCTGTACGAAAATCCGGGCACAATACGTGGATCCACGTATGTTCCTAGAAAAAGAAAAAAAAAAACACAAAAAATTAGTTTCAGACAAGAAAGAGGAGTAATTTTCATCATGGCATGAGAGATGAGTTAAAAAAGAGAGGGCACTTAAGGGCAAACAATATTTATATCTGGGTGAAAATATAGTATGAAAAGAGATATCTTACCAATGACAGGCATTTCATTTGATTCCAGTCCAAAGATAGTGTACGTTGTTGGTATATCACCGATAGAAGTGCCTCGGATGACAGTTGTTCTTTGACTGTTATCGATGCCAGGAGTCAAAATGAAACCTCTACGAGGATCAGCTCCGATTTTGACGCCAAACACTTTCGATATTTTGGCTGCACCGTATTTGCCCTTGACGCAGACAACAATGCCACTAACCTAAACAATCAACACCAAAGAACCCGTTTTAGTTGATGTAGGATGAAAGGATGAGAGAGAAGTTTATCAGGCAAATGACTATCATGAAAAATATGTCTATGAATTTTTAAGAGGTATCATGAACTTTTAATTGCCGTGTCTGATTTCTTAGAATGCCAAAAAGATCATGAGTTTGTTTCAGTAAAACTATGTTCAACTTCGGACATGATTAAGTCAAACTTATTTGCATACCTTGTATTGAAACTGGGGTTTCTGCTTTTGAAATTTTAAGCATTCATGACTTTTCCTCTACATGAGAATTTGGCAGATCTTTCAGCTTGGAAAAATTAGTAAAACTATTTTTATAGTCAGACATAAAAATCTCAATTTATAACTAAGAACTATGAAGCTCTATGGAAAAAGGTATTAAATGACAGAATCAAGCAGTTCAGACATTTCCAAACGAATCACTCGAAATTTTGGGATTAATAGTACTCACCGTTTCAATTGAAACCCTGTCATTTTCGAACCATTCAATCTTTCCCAAAACAGAGGCCCGTACAGATTTTTCCAGCTGATCACCCTTGATGACATGGCTAACTTCTTCTTGATCGCTCTGTGGGACAATAAGTAGGTTTGATTGATTAAAATGACCCTGTGAATGGCTGGTGAATAGACAATCTTAAAGCTACATTTAGAGCAAAGAAATGCAGTTGGTAAAAAAATAAATAATTTAATAATTAACGGATCTTTAAGATAAGAAGAAAGATATGAAACCTATGGCAAAAAAAAATTAAATGAGTGATATTTTCATACTAATGATAAATTATTATGGCTCTATTATCCTTGGGAAGAGAGGGAAGGGGATGCCATTTTTTCTTTTTCACATTTCGCTTTTTTTTGGCGAAATTCGGGATATATTTTAGTAAAACATCTCTGAGAAAAATGAAAATTCTTCTGATCGATATAAATAAAGGGTACACTGTATTAGAGCTGCTGATGAGTTCATCTGAACCACCATTTGGTAGCCTTAATGATAAAATATGAAAAATTTATGTCTCTAAGTTCTGATAGAATTTTAGGCTTAAAGATTGACTGCCCCTAAAATCCTGGTCAACTTGTTCAAGACATGATAATAATATAGGATAATGATTCTGGAAAGAGAAGAAGGAAAATTCCATTAGAGGAAATTTTCTGGGTCAAAAAATGTTTATAAGTCAGCAGTTCTAATGGGACGATCACAAAATAAGACGTGCAAAAGGAAATTAAAATTGAACCTGATGAAATAAAAGAACTTTTTGACTAGAAGATGGTGTTTCAAGGGTTATAAAAAATAAAATACTTAGAGTATAAGGAGGGAGAAAAGAAATCTATGAAGAAAGGTAGAGAGCTGGAGGGCATTGACAAAGTGAAGGAATGGATTCAAAGCAAGAAACAGACCGGTGGTTTAGTAGTTACCATAATGAATAGACAAGAGGATAAAGTTAGAAAGCAGGGAACAAGAGGGTAGCAAGAGTGTCACTTTGGGTAAAGTTTCTAGATTTAGGTTCAGAAAATTCATACGATCATGCTCTCAGTAAAAATAACGAAACAAGTGGACACGGAATTGATAAAATTGGAGAAGGCCAGAAAATTAATTTCCATCTGAGGAGATTAAGTTACACAAAGGTGAAGAATTTTCCGACCCGTGACTGTATTTGACAGGAGGTAAAAGATCAAATTGAAAAAGGTAAATGAATCAGTAATTATACAGAAAATAAATGTATTAAACGTTATGGAGTAAGGAGAAGTGGAAGACAACAAGCAATTTTTTTTTCATGGTATGACTTTAGCGACAATAAAGGAAAGGGAAAGTGTATATATGTCTTCACCCCGAGAAGAATGGAAAAATTAGTTGAAACTTTAACAAATTTTACACTTGGTCCAAGAGACTTTTTGTAAATTAAGGGGTAAGTCGAGAACGTGACATTAGCGCTCTTTGATAGATGGGGCTATAATGTTTCAAATTTTAGTCTGAAACAAGAGTAAAAGGAACTTCCATTAAATTTCTAAAAATTTCATCGCATTTCTTGGAGTTTCATTTTAACAAATTTCAATTCTTTTTCCCTACAGTTTTCATAAGTTTCCAAAAAAGTGAAACCAGCATGAATTTTATCATGGCATCATTGCTTCAGTTCAGGGCCAAAAATTTTTTGGTGGCGTTGAGAGTTTTCATTACTTCTTCTGTTTCTCCTCTTTGGTTTTTTTCCACATCCTTGAAGAGGACATCGCCTCTAAAAACTTAAAATTTCATGAGACAAGAAAAGACAGGGGAAGAGTGATAACGTTTCAGGGACTTCTAAAATAACTTCAAAATTATGGTACTGCTAGTTATCAAACTACTTTGAAGGAGTCATTTTTGAGAAACAAAAATTTGGGCAGAATTTAAGGCACCTTAGATAAGAATCTTGATTCAAGAAATATTTGAGAATGGAAAACTTAAGAGTGATTTTAAAAATGAATCTCATCTTCGCCTTAAAGGTGCCAACTATAAGAGCTGAGACATAAGATTAAATTTAATTTTTAAACTTCAAAAATAGGAGGAAAACAGATGCTCATAAATCAGCTAATTACTTCAATCAGGAAGAAAAATGAAAATGCCAAGAATTCTTATAAATGACGGTCAAAACCAATCTTAACAATATCAGGAAAAATAATTCCAGTAGGTTTCCTGATATGACGCTCCTTACACTTCATTAAAAGGACAATTCAGATAGGGTTGCTTTTTTTGACATTTGGATGATGAGATGGAGTAAATTAATCATATTTCTGTCTCCAGCATTTCATAGCTCCCACAGGTCACAATCCCTGCCACTTGGATTAATACTTAGATACATAGTTAAATTTAAAAATCTTGGCAAAAAGGAAGGGAGTAGATTCTTGATGTGATGGGACGTAATGATACTCATTTTTGGGCGGAAAAGTTTCACAGCTTTAGAGTGTTGTCATGACCAAAAGAAGAAGCATTAGCTGATTTAGTGAACAAATTAAAAATGAAAAAGAAAATACTGTTTGCATGTGTCGAATTATACTTTTCCTAATTACCAAACGCGTAATCCGTTCAGCAGATGAGTCTTCGTTGGGTGCGTTGCCGCAATTTAAACAGAAGCCAGCAGGAAGCAATTCTTCCAGGCTATTATTCGCTTAATATCTCACTCACTTTCATCCTTATAGCCATTAGCCAAGGCTGATAAAACTAAACATGAGTCGATAACCAGTGGCAACCGGATACTGAAACATTTAGTCGCTCATAGTTTTTTTACAACCAACACGGGCATGAAGCCCTTCAACAAATAATACGATAAGGATAAAACACAATTAACTCAGTCTAGCGTGCACTGAGTTCATTTTCATTCAATCCACCCAAGTTGATTTTTTCATCAAGCTAGGACACAGTCAAAGGATACAGAAGGTTAACTTCAATCCAAACGATAGAGAAATCTTGAGAGACTCATCGCAATGAATAATACTGATATTATATTGAGAGTGGTTTTGAAAGCATCCTTCATCAATCAAATGAATATAATTCTAGTGGAGAGCTTAGAGGGCCAGACATATGCAAAATACTTCGGCCTGGAGTTTATACATATGATACAATATTTTTGGTTTCCCCGATGCTTTGTGTCTTCCGATCTGGATGTACATAGAGAGAAAGGGAAGAAAAAACATGAATTGAAAAATTTTGATTGGTAGACTCTTACAAATTTCTGATTATCATCTGATAAAAGACTGATACTCTGACTCAGACTCTATTTTGGCCTTTTGGTCGGATGACACACTTACATTTGGTATTTGTTGACGAAAGGAGAACATCAAAACCACCTGACAATCTAAATAACAAAATTATCAAGATTGTTCCAAGATCTCTATCGTAGGAAGTGTCAATGAACTGCCTTCAACAGTGTTAATGAAGAAATTTTTAAATTTTCTGATGGATGCCATCAGATGTCATGGAGGACAATTAAAAGAATCCAGTTCTCCATAAATGATGAAGGCTAAGAAGTGAACAAAAGGCAGACCTCAGAAAGGAGAAAGAAAAAACTTTTGAGACGACTTCAGGATTGAATGTTTGCAAAAACCAACGATTTGATAAACTAAGATGAAATTCTATTCCTTGTTTTAAAAGTGAATAATAAGCATAACACCATTTATGCTTGATTTGATCCAAGCAAAAAATCAAATGAGTAATTTCACAAACGATCAACCGAGGCACCTCAAAAGATTTTGTCTTTGTTTTGAGGTCATAAGGTGTTCTTTCATAATTAGAATGCCTTGCAGTAACTTCTTAGACCTTTAATCTACTAATTTTATAAATGCACTGGAATTCGATTGATAGTACTCCAAATACAAGTTACGACAGATTCGATGTGATTCACTGTAGTGGTGCATCACTGAATTGTATTTCTTAACTGAGGAAAATTGGAAGAAGCTTTTGAGCACCTCCATTCCCATCTTTACAGTAAAAAGATTCTTATGGTGCAAGTGTTAATTGCTTCCTCTACAAATTATGGATGCCCTTTCAATAATGAGGAATATATTTTACTTCAACTGAAAAAAAATATTGAAAGCTCATGAGACTTTCTTCATTACGCAAAATATCTGATCTCACGAACAATCTTCACAGCTCTCAACTTGCAAAATTATTCAAGAAGCTTGGAAAAATAATTCATATGGTTTTTAATTGATAGTAGTAGCGTCATGAGAAAGGCATCCATGTAAAGATGGGAGGAAATGTCAATTGGAAAACCTCTTTCTTCGCTTCAGTCATGCTAAAACTTGATTTTGGGATCTTAGATTTAGCACATGTGTTCAAAATTCTCTCATGTATTTTAACACCACACTTAAAAGAGGCGCATGCATATTGATAGTCAGTATGAGATTCGTGAATGGCATATTGAACATAGGTCAATTGACCCAGTTCATTGATCGTTAAAAGACATACATCCACAACAGAATTGACTGTTTCGGATGTATTGGTCTGATTCAAGGACAGGCTTTACTTAGAGTTTCCTTTTCAGGTTTTACTTTGATGATGCAAAACTTTCTTGAGGACCCACTAGGCAGGAATGACTGGAAAATCAGATTGAATGAATGTGTTCAGTTGTTAACTTCATCGAAACATTCAATTTTTACTTTTTACCGTATTTTTTTCGTTTTCCCCCTAATCTCAATTTTAATTTCTTTCTATTAAGAAATTTCTTGCTCTGCAGAAGTAGACCCTCCTTCAACAAACCATATTAAGATACCATAAGTAACCATATTGTGTTGTTAGTTAATCTTGACCAACTCTGAATGTCAAAAAAATAGGCTTCATTGATCAACTTGTGCGATCAAAACGTCAAATTTAGCTAAATGAAAGCCTTCTAAGAATTGGATGGCAGGAGAATAATTTTTAGCTACCCTGTTCGCATTGAGTGAAGTAGTTTGTTAATTGAAAAACTTCCGTACTTAAAAGTATAATTTTCTGCTGGGGACTGATCAAAGATTGCATACAATATTCTAAAGAGTGGATAAGGATTTTCCAATTAAGCAAAATTATGTTCTGAGGGGAAGGAGGAGTATCAAACTTAGCTTCGCGTAACAATTTTTATCTTGAGATTTTAACTTGGATCTCTCACTAGTCTGCTTCTAAAATTCAACTTCTCTCTATATTCGATTTGTATAATTCCACTGTCATTACATAAATTCTTCAATTTATCATTTCTTTTTGGAGGGGAGAGAGGGAATGCTAAGCCAGGCAGATCTCCAAGCAAACGAAAATAACAGGTCAGAGAGATTGAGCACTGATACGGTCTTTTAATTGGTTTAAAATGAAGTTTGCGTTGTCTAAAAATAGATTCATTTTGATAGCGACCTGGAATTGAGAAGCTATGTTGATTTCAATTGATGGGAGGGGCACTGAACTTACAGATTAACGGTGGGTGGTTGACAGATTAACGATTTATTGTTAAGAGTTGCTTAAAATGACTTTTAATTACATGGTGTCAATCAACAAGCAACTATTGTTCGTCAGCAAGAATTAATCTTCCTTAAGAGTCTCTTTAGTGACACATGAATGTGTAATGAAAGCCCAATTTTTGACATCGAGAGAAGTTTGGTCAAGTATGATGCACCACAATTTTCTTCCCTACTCCCTCTACATATACCTTGCAAAATACTTGGTCCTCAGGATGTGTGAAACTAATTCTCATAGTAAATATCTTCTGCCATACATAAAAGAGCTGATTTATTCTGTTGATTCAAAACTTTAATATACAATCAAAGGTAACTGTTCATAATTCTAACTCACTGCTTGTTATCAATGAATTTGCCTTTCCTTATGAAGAAATTTAAAAACAAAAAACGCTATGGTATCTCATTAGAAATGTCAAGCAGTTTTAAGACTTGTGTCAGATAAGTTGGCAGTTGTTTTCTTTTTGTTTGCAAGCAACTGCATTGCCATTGTCCAATAGCGATCGAGGATTGACTGCTGCAGGCAATGCCACTGCCATACGCAGGAGCATAAATTAGTCTACTGCGAGTGACAGTCAAAAGTAAACAACTGTCAATTTATCTGACACCAGTTCTAAAAGTAACCAAAAGAATTCAAAGAAACTCGACATTAGAAGGGTATTCAGAGCAAGAAATATTGACGACACTTGGATAGATTGAGTTTATGCCCCTCATCATTTCAAAAAGTATTCAATGAAGATTACAGGAGTATTCCGTAAGAAACAGAGCACTATTTAAAAATCCCTCTTCCTCAAAATTTAAGCTGCTTTCACAGTATCACACCTGAGGCTTGGTGCAAAATGCGTCAGTCTGACTACAGCACCTCAAATGTTTCAACAGACTCGAAAGACTTTAAATAGCCTAAGAAAAGTCCAAAATATCTATCCACTACTGACTCCCATTGAATATTTTTTGATGAAGATGAGGCATTTGCAAATTTAGTAAGGGAATGTTGGTATTCCTTTCACAGCAATAACTTACCGGAGGTTTTCAATACTCACAACTTGTCAGGAGCAAATCAAGGAAAAACGACAAAATAAGATATGAGGAAAGTCCTCTAAAGCTAAGTGGTTCTTGAAAAACCTACGGAATAAACTTTTCATAGAAACACTAAATTAAAATTTAAGAAAAAAAAGATAATTTAAACGTATGTAAATATTTATGGAAACATATCTACCGCTTATGCAACTTGAAAATAACCTATCTGCACTTTTCTCATACGATTGGTTGATTAAGGTATTTCTTAACCATATTATTCTTATTATGGCGAATCAAAATATTGTTTCTCCACTCGTTACAGATGCCACTTACTGAACTAAAACTTTCTTAAAATTTTTAGCAGCAAGAGAATCCATCACTTTGAGTATTTAAAAGGTTTCACTTCCTGCTGTTTTAAACTAGACAACTCTTAAAATAAGATTTGAGCGGTAGATTTGCTTTCTCCATAAAAATGGTTCCCTCCGACTACGTAAACGTGGTGATTTTGTGTCTTCCTGATCATTTTCTGGCCAAATGTAGAGATCGAAAGTTTTATGTAAGATTTGTGTCACATTCAAATAAAACCAATACGATTACAAAAGTGTAATGGACAATTGGGCCTCTTGACAAAGTATGAATTGAAGCATTATGAGACGAACTTTCCTTTCAAAATTTTAGGAGGTAAACGAATTACACAAAAAGAGGTCTACAAATCAGCTTCTAAACAAAATATAAGTGTTTCGAGTAGACATTGGTTAAAATGCAAAAATGCAGACAATGTCAATGGTGGAATCTAACTTCTCTTCAATCTGTGTTCAAAATACTTGGTAATATCTTGTACAGGAGTTAATATGTGAACTCCCTGTTGTACATGTCGTTTTCTACCAAAGATTTTGAAGAGAAAACATTTGGCTTTTTTCCTAGATCAGAATTTGTCTAGTAGCCCATTGTCAATGACTCCACAGCTATTTTTCTTATCAAGATAAGAAGTCTTCAGGAGGAGAAAATTATCGTTCTGCAGCAGGAGATGGGGATGGTTTGTTAAGAGTTAGGAGGAATAGACATTCACGGAGAGATCTTGAACTGTCAGTTGCCCAATAACCTCTGGGAACATGGACAAATGTGGTGTTAGGGTGTCGCAAAACGCCAGAGCGGGTTGTAGGAGCAACTTTTATGGGTGAAGATGGTTGGAAAGGACATTTCAGTAAAAACAATGGATTATTTTTTACATTATTCTCTTGGTAATTTGAAAATCATACTTCTGAATGCGTGCTGAATTTTTTGGGAACAAGCTCTGGAAAATGACATTAAAATCTGAATGAATTTGAATTGCCACCGATGCCACAGGAATCAAATATTTGTGAATTGTGATTTAACTAATGTGCGTTGCATCAATTAGAAATAATTCATGACAAGAAAAAGTGTGTGGAGTAATCATTAATTTACTTTTGATAATCAAATTGATCTGTCCTGAATGTGACTTCAAATTAATGGGTTAAGGTAAACATTCCATTATAAAGTTTTGCACATCAGAGGTAAACGACTGAAATCAACGAAGAAAAAAAAGGATGATAAAATCCGATGTTAAGACAATAAACCGTTATTGATAGGTTGCTTTTCTCCACTTTTTTAGACAGCGAATTATTTTGCTAGTACTGGGCTGCATATGGAGAAACAACCAAACAAAACACATATGAGAACCATGTAAGAGTGAGGGACAATTCAACAAACATATCATGCTGAAAAATCACCGATTGCAGGAATCAGTCAGGCGAAAAGCACTTTTCGGACAGGCGAATGTCACAGAAAAAATTCGTTTTAATATTACAAGCGTCCCGAAGGGATAATAATTGTTCGAAACATGTAGAATTTTCCGAAGAAATCTTTGGAAAGAAGAGGGCATTAAATTTGATATTGTTCCAATCTCTTGCCGCTTTAGTAAGAAGATCAGATTTAGGAAGAGGGGAAAAAAAATCTTCCAAAGCAGCATATCAAAGAGAAATCGTACTGAAAGAGTCTCGAGATCATCATAAATGAGCGAGCATTCATCAGAGCAAAATTACTCTGCATTTACTGCCTTCTTCTTCTAAAGGTAAAATTATCTTTCATTTTGGAGCAAAGCTATTAGTGCAGAATTTGGACTTGTTGTCTCAAATTCATGAGAACTTTTCGCAACATTAATATTATTATCGCAGTGCACCAGATAGTATAAACCTGGATGAGCAAGACTTTTTCGTTTCACAGTTTTTGACAGTGATATGAATTTTGAGCTGACCCAGGGTGCGAGATTATATGGTTTTAGAAATTATTATGAATGATGAAACCAACCAATTGATTCTAAGCTTCCAAAAAAATGGATCATTCATGTTGAGGAATTCCAACACACACAAAAAAAATATATTTAAGAGAAATAACATGTAACAGAATATTTACCTGGAGTGATTGGACCTCCAAAGTTCCTAATGGCATGTGATTCGCATCCTGGATTGTGAATTTATCACCGACTGAGATAACCTCCAATTGGAAAGCAAACCCGTTAGGATTTGAGTCAGTCCAGAAATAGTTCGGGTTGTCGTTCAACTTTCCATTGTCAGGCGCGAAAGTCATTCTTCGGGAATAACCCCGACCAATGCTTTGCAATCCAAGCGCTCTTCCACCGAACAGCCATTGCTTCTTTCCATTCTTGGCCTGGAACAGTAGAATCAAGGTTATTATCATCGTTTCCCTTAGATTTATTGCCAATAAAAAAATGAACAAATCGGGATAATGATTAAATTGAGAGCCACTAAAAGAGGAGAGAAGAGATTGATTTATTGTCAGGGAAGAGTGCTGCAAACAGGCAATCATACTGTGAAAAAAATTGCAGACCTTCTGAGGATCGCAGAAATAGCAGTTGTCTCTAGGGATTAAATTATTCTTTGTGGCATCACAGATATTTCGAAAAAATAATAAAAACAACTGCATTTTCGGTTGGAAAAAATTATCTCTGATTCCAATTAAAAGCACGACTTCTAATTTGTTTTGCGTTATGATAATTTGGGTGCAAAAATTCGAAATTATGATGACCAACGTGCGAAACCACATATCTCTAATTGTAACGTTGTAAACTTCCAACCATACTTTATTTCATCTTTAGAAAAATACTCATCGCAGTTTCTTGATAATTTCTTCGATTGTTCTCCTCTACTAGCAGAGTATTCTATATAAATTCCAAGATATACAGAGGGCTCTCTCTTCGAAAAAATAAGATGGGAGCAGAAATTTTGAAATATCGCAATGGAGATTTGCAATTTTGCAATTTGACCATGGATACATTTAGATGGGATTAATTCAGATGTACAATATCATGCATCAGCTTGCATCATTTCAGGTAATGCACTTCTGGTAAGTTTTTTTGTATGCTAAGTGCTATTCTGTATTTAAGTTCTGTCTGATTATTAATAATCTTTTCAAAAGCGGATCAGATGAAAATTTACGCTAATTTGAATTGACCTAATTGGTAATCCTACAGAGTTATTAAAAAATACCAACATTGATATACTTCATATCATAAAAGGTTTTTATTTTTGGAGACTATGCTAGTCCTAAGATCAAATCCAAAGTAATATTGCATAAGCAAAAAATGAAAAAATGCCAAATTCTAAAGTAGATAGACGCTTAGGCTGTTACCAATAGCCTGTTGAACCTAAATTTCACAGTGAAGGATTGGTCTTGCTGATTAACACACAGGAGAGAAAAAACAAGGTGTAAATTATAGAAGAAGAAAAAAACAAAAATAAGCAAATACTCCACTGAAAGATGGCACTAACACATTTCATAAAAATAGTTTTTAAATCAATAGAGAAATGGTAGCTTCCATCTGATCGGTGGTGCTTACTCTTACATCTGACCTCACAAAAGTGATTATGCCAATATCTTAAGAGTAAATAAATGTTTGAAAATGTACGCGACTTTACCGGGTTCTCAATGCGGCGAACTCTGTATTTGAATCCAGTTGCAATGCGAGGATCAATATAAACACCAACTGCTGGAAATTCATGAGGTTCGATTGAAGGAACTGTGTATTTGGCGGGTATATCCTTCAATTTGCCAGCATCGAGGCAGATGAATTGTTGTTCAAAGTTCTCAACCTTAATTTGTGGTTGAGGGGGCAAAACAGTGTGGAAATCAAAGGGAGTTGTTTCCTGGAACAGAAAAAAAATCTTATGCATGACTGGAATAACTTGAAACTCCACTGGAAAAAGAGGCAGTATCATATTGAGATGTCGTTTTCTGCGCGTTATAAATGCTTTTGAACCGCATCTAATGAACGACTAGAGATGGTTGGACTCGAGCACTACAAGACAAGTTTTTCAACAAAATATTCGTCAAACATGGTGTACACAGGGAAAAGTGACCGAATTCATCTATTTTACCAGATGAAGGTAATCCCTATGTTCATAAATTCAAACTGTTCACTGACTTTATTAACAGGTGTACAAAATTAATTACTATGTGCTTCGTGATGGAAATTTTTTTTGACAAGCAAAATATGTACTTAGGGAAACAGGTACCTTACATTGGAAAAAGAGGTATTGCTGGGAATTCTTTTTAGTTGTCGAGTGATATCTAATCTTGATTTCAAGGGGCAAATTTGACTTGCATGGGTTTTGACTCTCATTTGACCAATGAGAAATTTGAATTGACTTCTTTTAATGTAAAAAAATAATCGTTAATGTTCCTTACATTTAGTTTGTACTTGGAAAATTTTTGATACATTCAACAGATTCTCTATAAAATTTTGATGATAGAGCATGTCTTGTAATGCTACCTTTATACTAACTAATAGCCCCTCGTCAGCTAACTAAAGCCATTGGCATCATCTTAAAACATAGGAAAAGTGAGAAAATTGGTAGAAACATACAATGCAGATTTAGTCCTAAGAATAAATCAAACTTAACAGGGATATGAGATAAAAATCTTACATTTAAGACCACCAGATCCATCGATGCTTGCAGATTTAATTGAACATTAAATATTCAGATTAAGAGGAAGGTAAACTTTACAGGTAACGCACTGATTGTTTTTATTTTGTGTTAATAGTCACTATTAAAATGCAACTGGGGAGATTTGAGGCGGATTTTAAACCGAAATTAAATGCTTAAAACAAAGTGTAAACTAGATAATCTAAGCCTTCAGCGTGGACGAAATAAAATTCAAACTCAAATAGATAAAAATAAAAACCACCACTAACAGCGCTATACCGAGATGATGGGAAAATAGAAAATTTACCACTTAAACCAAATTATTATACTTTCACTGGGAGAGGAGGGTGAATATTTTGAATTCAGTCAGATAGTTAGGCCCAACATTCAGTAAGAGAAGAGGCTGCTTAACTATGTGACACAAAGAGGATATAATAACTGATCTGAGGTGTTTCATAGACGGGAAAGATTTTGGAGCATTTTGCCAAGAAAGTTTAGAGCCAATAAATGAATTCAGGGTCACTTAAAAATAATAGAATGGCGCCTGTTGATGGTTTGTTCATTCATTCTATTCACTAGAATTAGGTACATTATTTATTTCTTCGCATTGACTGCGCACTAAAGAATGCATTTGCCAGTTACGTCGAGACAACGGCATAACTGGGCTCTAATCCAGTTTATGTAACAATGTTTCCTGTGTTGGGGGCACTGCTATTTTGGAGGTTGCATGAACAATGGTGCAGTGACGGCTTTTAATGTCTATTTCATTATTTTAAAAGCTAATCCAAAATTATTAGCTTTTCAATTGTTGGCAGATTTGTGTTTGTGGTGATTTTTAATTTTTTTGTTGAAAAGTGCACTTTGAACAAAAAAAAAAAAAAAAAAAATAAC